GCGTGGAGAACAGTGTTGCAGGAAGGGAGTAGTGAGTTGGAAGAAAATATGAAGGTGCTGCTTTAGGGAAGTGGATCCAGGAAACAGTGCAGTAGGGTGAAGGGAAGAAGAGGATGCCAGTTTAACTGGCTGAGCACTACTGCAGTAAGGAAAGATGGACAGAGCACAGCCTGGGATATTAGAATAGGAAGGAGGATTCCCGCTGATGTTTTGAAGTACCATTTTGCCTACAGGGAGAGTTCTTTGGCAAATAAGTTTAACTGTAGGCATTTTTTCTTCCTGGAAGGGTCTCTTTCTTTACTGTATCATAAATATCTGTCTGTGTAAAAATGCAGTTTTGTTTTGTGATTTTGGAAAGTTGTATGTATATCAGACACCCATTTTTAATACATCAATGTTCCAGTCTTCTGATTTGGTCCTGGAAAATTGGTACAAATAGAGAGTAAGTTGAGGGTGTGCTGACTTCCAGCAGAACACCTGTTCAGCACTGTCACTGCCTTTGAAGAAAACTGGTTGTATATCCCTCGAGACAATTATTTTACTGTTCAGCTGTGTGAAGTTACCACTCCCTAGTAATATCCACATTTCTCATACTTAGGAAGCCCTCAGTCTTTTTGACCATGCATATTTATAAAATCTGCTGTTACAACAAATTGCTTGGGCCATACTACTGATCTGGTAATGTATATATTACTTTTCTTCAGACGCACATGTTTAAGTAACGCTGACCTGTTTTTTTGTCAGAATTATGTTTGAATACTTAGGAAAAATCTACAATCTGGTACTATCTGGAAAGTAATTTCATTTAATGATTTTAGTAAAGAAATACTAAACAGTTTTATTTTGGGGCTAAAGGAAAATTCAGTGGAAATTATGAGTATTAATAGCCTTCAAAATTTCAAAATTGCTTTCTGGCTTCCTATAAGATGCTTATAAATAACTAAAATACTACTAGAAACATGGAAAGAAGGCTTTTTAAGTGAGCTGTATTATTAAAATCTCCAGATGAAGTCATAATATGTTTTGCTTTTGATCTGTGTATGATCAGGACCAAAATTATAATTCAGTCTTTACTTAGATCCACAGAGCCTAATTACAGCGGTGTCCATCTTACTCAAGCATTTAGCATGGCATGTGCATTACTTTTTGATAGAAATAAAGTAGCTCAATATATTATTACTAGAGGAAGTATTGGAATATGGTAATCACATATTTGACTTCATCTGCAGTTATAATGCGCTTGAGCTGGCTAGTAGTAAAGATGGGTATTTATTTATTTATTTATTCCTAGCAATCTCATTGAAATTACCTCAGCAACCAAGCCTGGCTAGTGATGTGCTGATTCTGTAACAAAGAGAGAAAGCTGTAAAAGAAGCAGCGCTATAAAATAAACAGAATAAAATTAAGGGTATCTTTCCACTGGGGTGGTTATGTCCCTTAAGAAAATAAAAACTACTATAGTATTCCTCCCTAGATAAAGCCCCAACTGACACAAATGGGTGACTACATAGCACAGAGAGGCTGGAGAATCCATTATTAGTAGTTTTTGAGACTAGACTGCAGAGTTTAAGTCAGAAGCAGTATGATGCTGTATCTTGTTATCTCTGTGGGATGGCCCTTGCTCTTTTATTTGAGCCTGAAGGCAGTGTAACCGTCGGCCAAAAAGTAAGTGTCATATTAATATTGTAGGACTTGTTTCTTCCGTTGAGATTCCCAGAGCTTCCAAACCAGAAAGTTTTGTGACTGTTGATAAAGGTTCAGAATTTCTTCTTGATGTTGTATTTTTAAAACCTATGCATGTCTGGGAAAATCAGGCTCCCTACCTGTAGGAATGCCCCTTGTTTACTCCTCCTGGAAACTGGACCCCTTTCCTAGCTTTTGAGGACATTCTTTAGTAGGCAGTAAACATGAGTTGTATTTCTCTTGGATTGTTGGAGAATAATTAAGACACTAAATAAAACCTTGAAATACGTTTCCAAACTTCCTCCCACAACAATATACAGATTAATACAAATTTGTGTGAGCCAGACAAACATCTGATGAGATCCAAACCAACACATAGCATTTTGCTTTTCTGTAACCTGAAACAATGATAAACTGTAGTTTTGTGTTTTCCAATTTAAAAAATACACAAAATATTCTCATTATTTGTAATAAGGCAGAATGTTTCAAATAAAACTGTGAACTATAAATTAATGAGTGCCTTCTACATTCTGGACACATGTAGAATTGAAAGAGGTCTATTACAGAAGTTGAAAATCTGTATTTAATGAAACACACCTGTCGGGGGCAGCCTGGTCTCTCCTTCTAGCAGCAAGGACGTGCTCAACTTGGCGTCTCGTAATTTGCATACTCTGTAAGCAAACTGTTACACCCCTGGGGCTAAGGACGATTGCTTCCAGGAGGGCTGGTTTCGTAACTAGAGATAAGCACGTGCTATAGAAACAGGAGTAGAAGTCGTTAAGGAGAAGAATGCTGTGAGCTAGCAGAAAATTAACTGCAGAAAAAGTCAAGCTGACCTTAGACGTTAGCCAATCATGAGCTCAACTTTTGTAATATGTATTAGGTGATTAACCATTGTGCCAATCAGCTTAAAACACGTGTCTCTCTTTGTCTGTTTGGAATATAAAATCGGTTGTTGTGTTCAATAAAGTAGATCCTGACTTGCATCGAGCTGGGTCTCCGTCTCTCAATCGCGGCACACACCCACTACATGTCAAGATAATAAATGTGCAGCCCTCTCTTTTACTTCAGAAGAACACATTCAACATATTCATTAGCTTAGAGTTTTACCTGCCATTGCAAATATACTTCAGCTACACTTTTCAATCACTTATGGACTGTCCGTTGCTGTGCAAGTATCAAGCATGCTTGCCAGTCAGTCTGGTCTGAGCACTCATCCTATATTGTTTGGGCATTCATGATGCCTACTTTTATGGCTTGAATTGAGTTATGGCTGAAGAAGTTACAGAGGTGGGTACTTTGTGACTTTTATCAACTTTGGCATAATTCCTGTCTCATTTCATTCAGCTTTGTCCTAGATAATGCATAAACATATGGCATTTCCAGTCTTTAAATGTCATATTAATGCAATGAAAGAAACAGGGTTTTTTGGTATTGAGTAGGTCCATCATAGCAGTGGGATAAAAAACTCATCTATTTTTGAGTGTCAGTGTGTTCCTAAGGTTTTCTGAAGGATACCTCTGTCTCTGCCCAAGCTTCGTTTGGCCACATGGTGCCTCTCATCTATCTGTAGAAGCACAAAGTGTTAATAAACAATAGTCATGATAAGCAAGAACAAGTTAATTCATTTTTCATGGCAGATCTGTTCGTGATATGCTTCTTTCAAATAGGATGGGCTGGAGAATCCTTTATCCCTCTTCAATCTTCAACCTTCAATCTTACCTTCTTTTTATGTGAGATCTCTGTAGTTAGGGATTTTATTAAAATGTGTAGCAAATGGTTATCTGGTAGTACCAGATAACTGTTGTGTTCTGCAAATGAATTTTGAGTGTGTTTGGCAATGCAGTTTTCCCCATGTTAGGTATTCTCAATGGAGAGCATCAATATGAACATAATTTGAATATGTTGCCTTTCAGAATTATAAGTTGTCAAAATTCAAGGCAGCTTGTGACATTCAGTCCACAGCAAAGATACTCAGCAAATAGAAAGCTTGTCTTGAGAAATTATAAAGCTGATACGCACCTTCTGTTTTTCATCCTCACACGTTATATGAGGATTTCCTTACTGCTTGTTCCATTTGTTTATTGCCATAAACATTGTCTACATATTATTTGGTTGGTGGAGGAGTTGCTCTAAAACCAAACATGCTTTTATTATGGCTTAAGAGTTAAGAAGGGAGGTATGGAAGAACCAAAACATACTAGGTGATCTTTTTAATTTGCTGGTGACTTTTACATCAGTTTTCACCATTCCCTTTCTTCCTGACTACTTCCTTGTCTTCATGTGAAGTGATAGGAAATGGCAAACAGGCAGGTGCTGTGGATGTTTACGCTAATGTGTGACAGCTAGAAGGTGTTAGAGTCATGGAAGGGAAAAAAGATATTTCCAGCACATACAGGGGATCATGCAGAGGCCTGTGCTCAGCTGGCCTTTGAAAGCTATTTTCTAATACAGGACTGAAAACATTACATGACAACTGGTGTATCTGAGTTAATACTAGGGTACCTTGCCTAGGCTTGTCAGCTGAAGAGGTTAAAACCAGAAGCGGTTCTGGTCCACCATGGTGGATTCTGTTTCTATGAATGGTATCGTTTCCGGAGGTGAGACCGGCCGTACTGTGCTGCGGGGCGTAGTGGGCCTTGTGTTCAGACTCGTCTCTTGGCAGAGCCAAGTTCTTGTTTAGTTAACCAGGCAACTATTATAGTGGCATCTTACAAATTTAATGCAATTTGTATAGACCAAGATTTTTCAAGAGGCAAGTTTGTAGGTAAAAGTGACTTAATTGATTGTGAGACTGCCAAGTGGCCAGTGGATCTGATTAATTTTGAATAATTTTATTTCACTTTTAGATTATTAGCAATTTATAGTGATTAATAGTAATATATTTTTACCCACTGTCTCCTGGGCAGCATGCAACAGCCCCTTACACTGCTCTTCCTGAACTTTATTCTTTCATCCTAAAACCCCAACAATGACCAAAAAAGTAAAATGTCTGCATACAATTTCATATTTCTCATTTCTCTATGATTTGGAGGCCAAATTTAGTTACCCTGTAAGTACAAGAACACTTTAACTTGAAGCTCTGCCAGCTCATGCAGAAATTCAGAATTGAAACTGAGTGTCTCACATGAGCAGGAAGATATATCTCACTCACAAATGCATGCATTAATCTATATAATGCACACCACTTGTAGCTGGAAAAATAGTGAAAGATAGAACCTTTTAAAAAGCTCGAACCTCTCAGTTATGTGTTTGTCATGGTTTTGTTTTTCATGAGGATGTTGAATCTGAAGCCACTGTTATTCTTCTTGTTTTAGGTGCTGTAGCAATTTTGATCCCTCGCCTGGACCTGGTGATTTCTTTTGTAGGAGCCGTCAGCAGCAGCACGCTGGCACTGATTCTGCCACCTCTGGTTGAAATCCTCACTTTCTACAAGGAAAACTTAAGTTTATGGACGGTTTTTAAAGATGTTTTTATAGCTGTCATTGGAGTTGTTGGATTTTTAACAGGGACATATGTGACAGTTGAAGAAATAATTTCTCCTGCATCCACAGTTCTAGCTAACGCAACGGAGAGCATCTCTGCAGATTTAAATGCTACAAACTTGGTGGTTGGTTTAAAGTAATAACCAGGCACTGTGAACTATTTTGTTCCTTAACAAGAAGATGGATGGCAGACCTATGTGTGCGACAAATTCTAATGGATTTTAAATGAATTTTTGAAAAATAGCATGCAGCCCTTTCTCACTCTGTTGTTGGTTCTTTCCTTCATTTCTTCCCATCCACTACCTGAATTTTAACCCCTTTGCTCTCAGCCTCTGCTCATCTAGTGAAAAACTGAATTGATGTCAGGATTTAAAATATACACATGAATATAGGAAGGAAATATTATTTTAGGTTATTTGTAAGAAAAAAGTAATAATTTTTATAAAGAAGTCAAGATTCCTTCCTCCTCAGAAAAGGTGGAAGTCAGTCCTTTCACCATATCCAGGCAGCAAGTCTAGGCACTACTGTTTTCACTCCAGCACTGTTGTAAGGGTTGGAGTGGGAGCTCAGTGATACGTACACCTCCTCTTGGCTGTCTCTGACGGTGTGAATCGCACCCCAGTGAACCAGAGACACTTCAGTTTTAAAAAAGAGCAGCTCTGGTTTTCATTTCCATAGTGAAGACCTAGATGTTTGCCATGGATAAGTTTTTGGGTAATTGCACTTTCCTGGCTCTGGTTCCTGGGAGTCAGTGTGCCTGGAATCAGAATGCACTGTGCAGAATGATTGTGACTCTTGTTTGGTCTTGGCTCCAAGGGGAGTTTTTCAAGCATTTGGAAGGACCAAGCCCTCCCTGGTTGGTACAGCAGACCACTGCTGGTGGGGCGTTACATGACAGGAAGCATAAAGGCATTTTTTCATGCTGACCACCTTAACATTTAAGATGAAGAATGTACAAGACTATAAGGTAAAGTTTAAAAGTGAAGGCCAGACCTTTTATTAGGCCAAAAGGTAGCTAGTTGGGAGTATTCCTGCCATTTTACATGATCTGTTACTATATGTTCCTGTAACATGAGCTGTTCAGAATGGCTGGATCCCTGTTCCAGGGAAATGGCAACTGTGATGCTCAGTAGAGCCATGGAAGTCTGACTGTCCAGAGCAACTTAAAGATTCACGATGTTAATTTCTGCGTGCGAAAGGAAAGGATGAGACACTACTTTCTAGAATGGAGCTTGTGACGTACTTTCAGATGTATAAGCTGTGGGTGAATTGTGGAAGAACTTGTGATTCCACAGGACTGTGAGCTGAGGGGTGCACCAAGGATGTCTATTTTAAAGCCCTTCCATGCTCAAGCACACCGCTTGCCTGCAGGTTGTCCGAATAACTGACTCAAGACTTGCTTTCAACTACTGGTACTTTGAAGAGAGGTACAGTTCATGAGAGATGTGAGGTATATGTGTGAAGATACGATACTTTTTTTTAGAAAGTAATTATATATCCATTTTGGATTTTGAATGAAAAGTTACAGGATTATGTTTATCAGAGCAATATTACTTTCATGATGCTAAAACATTCAACACCGCAAATGATAAGCAGTTTATTTTTGTACATTTTGGTAACTGATGTCCTGACCCATTTTTTACACTATTTCTTTATCCTTGATTTCAACTGTACAAATGTATGAAATACTGTATTTTTTTTTTACCTATTTCTAGAAGTCTGTAGACTGCCTATCTATATTTCTATTGGAACATATAATAATTATTTTTGCATTCTTCTGTTCTGCCTTAAATAGGATCTAACATGCCCTTTACTGATTTTTGTTTCTTTTATCTATTTTGGAAGAAAAAAAGAACAAGTTGGTAATCGGGTAGAAATTAGTTTTGTTCAGTAACCTGCATGCTGAGTCCTGAACCAGAATCCTGATTTTCAGGGTTCTTATTTGACTTTCTGGCTCACACTTCATAGATGACTTTCATTCCAAATGCTAAAAGTATATTTTTGGTCTTGTTTTCTAAAAACACTCTATATTTTTTACAATAATAGAACTGTATCTATCATACTCATTCTTGTTATGAAGAAACTCCTTTTTCTAAGGAATATTTTTAATTATAACATTCCCCCAAGAAATATGGTATGCCAAACCCTCTCTACTGTATTCATACAAATTTAGAAAGTTTTGTAATATTTTGCTTGCCTTCAGTATATTCCTCATAAATCTACCATTTGGCATTACAGTGCTAGAGTAATATACTGCTAGATATATCTATATTTATATTTTCTCTTCAGAATATTTCCCATGTCATCTACCATGCGGTGACTGTATTTGAGCACTTTTCACCTCCATGTTGATGAGGGCATTTCTGATGGGGATTTGTTATAGCATGTAGTTCAAATGTTAAAGCAATAGTTCTGAGTAATGTTCTTATGTTCATTTTAGCATGGACAAAGTTAAATACTTGGCAGGCACTTTAAAGGGATGAGTCTTTGCAGGTTTGATTCTATAGAATGAACCTTTTGTATCAAAGTTCCACAGAGGAGCAAACACGGGTAGTTAGCAGAGAGGTAAAAGGTAACTTCAGCTTTTTGTCTTAGAGGTTTTTTTGGTCTTTAAGCTGTTTCAAAAGACATTGGATCTAAGTGTTTCTGTTTCATAAATAAATCTGTTGTTTACCTAAGGCATACAAGACACACTGATAGAATATATTTCTGTGCAGCATATTTTACTTGACATTAACTACTTCTACATGGAACATTTTTAGTAGGACTGATAGGATTTAAATGGAAATTATTTTTCCTGTTAGTTTTGCATCTTTCTACCCATGTGTGTTTGGAGAATAAAGGACTGTCAAGTCCATTCCTATCATTTGTTCTGTATCAGTTGTGTCCTAGTGAGCAGCTCTGAGAAGGTGCTTCTGCCAGGGTGCAGAAGAACTTGACCAGTTCAGAGTTTGGTGGTGATTTTTGGCTGGTGCAAGGAAATACTGATATGGTACTATCAATGAAGATTTGATGAGCTGGATACCTAAAACCTAAATTGATGGCTTTGGTACTCAGGTGAATGCAGCATATCTTTCTGAAAGTCAGGCAACTTGTTTAGAAGCTCAGTAGTTTGAGGAGTCTAATCTCAGCCATCAAACTTTGCATAACCTGGCCCAAATACAGACCCTTACACATCTTACTGCCGTGTCTGACTGGGGAGCAGCCTGTCAAGGAGCAGATTTTCATACCCACGTGTTGCCAGTGACTGGCCAGCTATGAAGTAATGTGTTTATGCAGTGGGTCAGTGTTGCCATGTCTAACAATGTTGTATCTTTTGAATCTTTAAAATGTTTGTTAATATATTTTGCACAATGTCAATTTTCTCCTACAGTGTAGGATTTTTGTTATTTTAACACTCGTACAGTGCATTTGCATGGCCTGCTCTTTCAAATAGAAAGAGTCAGGAATCAGAGCATCTTGCTTTGGATAAGAGTAAAATGTAATGTAACAAAAACTACTAAATCTGAATAGTAAGAGTGTTCCTGTGAAGCATTGCCAAAGATTTAAGAGACAGGAAATTCTGACAGAAAACTCCTCTGAATAATAAGAGTGTTCATTGAGCTTTTAAAGTACTGTAATATAAATTGCAAGTTAAGATGCAGGGAGTGAATCTGAGTGATTTAATAGGTATGGTTTACATTAATATATATTTAAGATAGAAATGTACTTTAACACAAGCTAAATTAAACTGGAAAATATATGTGATTGGCTTATATTCCTGGCAAGGAACAGAAAGCTATTGTATTTATATACTGTACATGCATTTATATTTTACAATATAATATTGTTAACAGTTTTAGTGTAATTTAATCATTAGCTGCACTATAAGTAACTGGATCATTTTCTTGTCTGTAACTGTTCACCCTCAAGTACTGGGCAAGTAAGAGGATGGGTTTGCCTAATGTTCTGTAACTTAAGTCTTCTGTATCAATAAAGGCTACAATAATATTACCTTGCTAACTCACTGTTATCCTGCCTGTCACCACTACTACATCACTAAAAGAAATAGCTGTCTCAGTGCAGAATTTATTTTTGAAGTTATCCAAGGAATGGCAAGCGAGTGACTTGAGACTGTCAGACAAGCTCAGGAGGTGACTTTTCATTGATAATAAATCCCATTTCAAAGTCATATAGTCACTCCTGAAAAATCCCACCCCCACTCCAAGGTTTCTCATGAGGGCACTGTTAAAGATAGGCTTCTGCATCTTTCTAGAGGTGCTTTAGTAAATGAGTTAATTTCTAAATGTACAAAGGGAGCCAGCAGTTCCCACTGAAATTGCAGTTCCCTTTTGGAAAACTGCAAATAAAAAGTCAGATTTTTTAAAATTGAACAAGCTCTTACATAGTTGGTATGTACTTGGCCTTAACTTTAAGTACGGAGCGTTGTATAATAGGTATGAAAGAAATTTATATGGAAGTTCTGTACTTTCTATCTAACTTTGAAATTACTAGTTGGAAATAAAAGTGGAAGCATAAGCTTTCACGTTCTCACCCATTACAAGATATCAATTTGTAGATCTAGTTTTGCAAAAGTATTTGTATTCCCCATTTTAACACAAGGCCCTTTGAAAGTGTGCTCAGTGAGGCATCCAGAAGCACCCAACCCATTATAGGGTTGCCTGTATAAATACAATTTAGACAAATATATACAAATGTCCTTGAGAGTGATCCACCAAAAAAGCTGTTTCATAAATAAGAAACCTAGGATGCTCTGAAAGTCCTCTAACACCAGCAGAGAGACTGTAGCTGTTAGACTGGAAAGATGGATTTCAGTCGATAACCACTGCTCTCTGCAGCCATGTGAGGAGCTCTAGGATTAACTATGGTTTTGAAATATCTAGGAATGCTTCAACTTGTGCTACAAAACCAGTGCAATACAACACAAGGGGCTTCAAGCTCAGCCCTTAGCATGTAACGGACAAACACCTGCAGATCACGACCTGTCCTTTCCTCTTTCTTTCTTGCTGATTGTCCTCGTTTGAGCCTGGTCAGCAGCTAAACCCATGCAGTCACCTCACCCACCCTCCCCCCACTTGGGAATGGGGAGGGAATCAGAGGGGCAAAGGGAGACTCGCGGGTGGAGATAAAAACAGTTTAATAACAGTAACAGAACAATACGCTGACAGCAGTCTCAGCAGGTAATGTACAATACAGCTGCTCACCACTCACCTGCTCCCAGCTGGTGATCCCCAACACAAAGGCCCCACAGCAGCACTCCCAGAAGTGAGAGCCCCTCCTGGCCCACTCCTGCCTTTATATAGTGAGCACAGTGTCACATGACATGGACTATCGGCCAATCGGGGCCCAGCCCTCCAGCTGTGCTCCCCCCGCCCCCGCACACAGGTGAGGGCACTGGGCCCTGGGGAGCCCCTGGGGTCTCAGGGTGCTGCAGCTCCTCCCGCTGCCAGACCAACGGGAGCTCTAGGCCAGCCCCGACCAGGACACTGATGTACAACACGTGGCAGGTGCAAATACATGTATTAGGAAACAAATCTTTCTGCCAGATCATCTTGAGGAACCACCACCTGATGTTTGTTTTCCCCTTTCCACTGTTTCTATTGCTTTTTATAACTCCAGCTAGGGGTCTCAGAACTTTTATGCTTGTTTTATTGCAGTGAATGGAGGTAATGGAAGAAGACGTATACTTCTTTCTAGCTATGAGTACATGAATAAGTAGGTACTTTCTTTAGATCATGTGAGCTTCAAAACATTTTAAATCAAGCAAGTTCTCCTGTAGCACATTGCAGGAAACTCCAGATCCTGAAGTACTGGACAAATGCTAGAAGACTGAAAAATCTTACAGACTTTATAATTTCTCATTTCTTAGGCTTTCTGTTCTGGGGACACATGGAGAGAAGACTCTGGAACTGAAAGGTAATATCTAAAGATAGAAAAGACTGTATTTCACAGTCAGTCAGTTGTAATGCCTATGAACCAATATTCCAAAGGAAGAAATTATGACTTTTATCTGACTTTTTTCTATTTCTCTTCCTCTTTTCTCATAAATATCGATAGTCTCCTAAGCTATTACTTTTGAGAAAGGTAAATTTATTACCTAGGGATGAGTTTAATTTTCATTTATTTTGCAGTTATCTATTAGTAATAGTTGTGCAAATGCACTCACTGGGTTCTCCAGGCTGGCTTTCAATGAGACTGCTTCTGGCAAGAAAGAAACACTTTATGTTTTACTGTAACTGTTTAGGATATGGCTACTTCAGAACTGCAGTATTTTCAGCTTAGTCTCTAGACAGGCTGTTACAAATACCTTACCAGATAGGTGGCACTCACTACACACTGAGGCCCCTTTTGCATTAATTTCCTGGCAAGAAGTAATTCTTGCCCAGGAAACAAATAGGGGACAAAAAAACAGTGGAGAAAGAAACAGGGTATCCAAGAAGGATCGTCACTGGTCATGGATCATGCAGGTGAGTATTAGGCTTGGGTACAGATGCCTGATGGTTCTTTTGTTTTCTCCGTCTAGGTAGAATTTCCTTCTGTTTCAGATCCAATGCAAAGCCTAAACATGGATTAAATCTTATTTTTAGGGCTCAGTACTTACAGAGAAAGAACACAGGCTGGTTTGGGTCATGGCATGCCAGTGAATTTTGTTTTGGCAAAACCTCACCTTTCTTTACTTCACCATGGAGACATCTTTTCTGTTTAGCTTGGTCATTTTTCTGGACTCCGCTTATCACTTTGGAGAAACTTGAGGGCCTTTTGAGGAGTTTTTTCCTGCCCCAACTGTGGACAATACCGGTGATGGGCCTGTGACCCTATGCAATCAGGTGTCTCCAGGAAGATCTGCACAGCGCTGCTCCTGTGATGCTGGGTTTTCCTCCTGCTCTGATCCTCTCTTGCCCTGTTATCACCAAATGGACTATTGATGTAGTCCTCTGCCACACATCCCAACGTGTGCCCTTCAAGGAACTTTGCGCTGTTTTCCTCCCTGCTCCTGCACAGCAGCTCTGCTAGCTCTTGCCTTTGGCAGAATTGCTCATGGTTAGGGTGGAAGTTCCATGCTCAGGACTAGTTTGATGAGCTTACTATTTTGTATCCAAATGTAGTTTGAAAGCAGAAACAGAAGATACACAAAGCATCTAGCTCATCCCTGCTGGCAGTTAACTGTTGCTTGAAATAGTTGAGTTCAGTTTTAAATATCTGGATGTTGGGAGTTTGGAAGATCTTATGCAGTCCAATGCCGCCTCCTCCTGTCATCAGATCCTGATTAAGGCTGGTTGAATTGTTCATTGGGAATACATTTCTTTTTTGAGCTGAACTTTCTTTTGCCCCCTCTTTTTTTCGTGAATCTCCCACAGCCTCACTGAACACTGCTGTTATTATCTGCTTTTTAAAAGGTGTCTTTAATCGGATCCTCAGAAAGATAAATGCATTCAAACTTACCTATAATAATTTCATTCCCTGCAGCTCAGAAATCTGAGCATTTTAAAAAACCTTTTCCATTATATCAGTTTTTATTGTATTTATAATACATATAAGGACACAATAAATATCTGCAAGGAATAATGCAGTTCAGGATACTAACATGCTGCTGGAAAGCCTCCATACTGTTTTCGGCTGAAATAAAGTTAATTTTCATCCTAGTAGCTGGTATAGTACTGTGTTTTGGATTTAGGGTGAGAATCATGTTGATAAGATGCTGATGGTTTAGTTGTTGCTAAGCAGTGGTTGTACTACGTCAAGGACTTCTCATGCTGCCCTGCCTGCAGGAGCTGGGGGTGCACAAGAACCTGGGAGGGGACACAGCCAGGACAGCTGACCCAAACTGGCCAAAGGGATATTCAATACCATATGACATCATGCCCAGTATATAAACAACTGGGGGGAGCTGCCCAGGGGACTCTGTGGCTCAGGGATTGGCTGGGCATCAGTCAGCAGGTGGTGAGCAACTGTGCTGTGCATCACTTGTTTTGTATATTCTATCATCATCATCATCATCGTTATTATTATTTCCCTTTTCTGGCCTATTAAACTGTCTTTATATTAACCCATTAGTTTTACTTTTTTTTTTTTTCCCAGTTTTCTCCTCCATCCCACTGCAGGGTAGGGGAAGTGAGCGAACAGCTTTCTGGTTGGGGTTAAACCACGACAACTTCCCAGGCAATATAAGAAAAAACCTGCAGAGTGTATTTTGAAAAATGCTGTATGAATATACAGAAAATACACTTCTGCTTTGCTGGTTTCACTTCATACTTTGTAGGGTTTAACTGCCATATGCAAAAAATATGGAAAAGTATATAAACCAGGACTATGAATAAGGGACTAAGACCTCTTCTTTGCTCATTACTGGATAATTCAACTGTTGAAGCAGAAATGGATATGTGTTAATAAAACATGGACTGTTTTCTGTAAAGCTAGGCAAAAAGTGTTGGATTCTTTCTCAATTTGGCTAGAGATTGAAACAAGAAAAGGAGCAGCTGTGACATTGTGAAGGCAAAAATATTCACATTTTCATAGAGCTTGAAGATGACAAAGGGATCAGGAGATCACCAGACCTGAGCCAGGTGAATTACAGACTGTTACTTGACATCCAGTAACAGCCCTTAAACAAAAAGGCTTCAGATCAGTACATGAGAACATCAAGAGGTTGAAAATCCAACACTTGCCATGGTATTTTGCTCAACAGTTTAGTGTCCCCCATGGCTACAATTTTGTCTGTCATGTCTAATTTATGTTTGTCTTCTTTATGCTTCCAGGCATCTTATTAAAAAAAAATATATATATATATATTCACCAGATTAAAGCCCCATTCAGGACTTAGAACACTGTATTTTCTCCCATAAAGGTATTCCAACATTTGAATGAGATAATTTATTGATTAACTTTGAAAACAGACCGAACTCTTAAGTTTCTTACTGAGAATAACCTTTTGTGATCTTTCATTTTGTAGTCCTTCACGACAGATCTGCAGCGTGTGCTCACATTGAACTGTCCACTATAAC